GGTGGGGGCAGGAAAAGGTGGCTGTTCTGTGAATAGCCTCTTGACTGTCTTCTTTCTATGCAAATATTTGACCGGAAAAGGGATTTCTGGGAGGCATGTAACACTTTTCTTCCTCCTGTGGAACAGGCCATCTGATCGTCAAACCAAAGTTGATCACCAGGTTGGAACAAGGGTTAGACCTTTTTGCCAAAGAGAAAGATGCCAGCGAAGGTCCCCAGCAAGGTGAGGAGGGAGTCAGCAGAAGTGATGCCTCTTCAGGTTAGTCAGAGATGCCCTCACCTGTCCTCCATCTTGCTGAGGGCTGGAAGGAGTGGCCATGGAACATGATTTGTTCAGAGAAAACTTGTAATGTCTTCTAGCCTGAGAGATGTTGCCACGTACACTTTCACACCTCAGTTCCTTCTCCCAGTCTTTTTTTATTTTTTGCAAAATGTATAGGATTTAAAATTTTTTACAATGTATATTTTTATTGAATATGCATCTTAATCATCTCCCATCTGCACTCTCCACAGCCCGCCAACTCCATCAGGTTTCATGCATTCTATCATATATGTTAAGGCCTACTGAGTCAAGTTTATGTCCCCAGTTGTCCCTTGGTGTGCGCTTATCCACTGGAGTCTGGCCAACCTTCCTAGCATCACTCCCTTAAAGAAGACCAACTTCCCCTCACCCAGCAGTGACCAGTTGCCAGTAGTTCCTTGGCTAAGATTGGGGCTTCTTACCCATTTCTCCAGTTCTATGCTGAATTTTTGTCTGGTTTGAGTTTGCATGGGTCTTATGCATGCTGTCACCATTGCTGTTAAGTTCCTATGAGCAAGTTCCCAGCCACCTGGAAAACTCTGTTTCCGGAGGTCATGCACCACCACTGGCTCCTACAGTCTTTCCACCTCCTCTTCCTCAATGGTCCCTGAGCCCTGGGTCAGTGAGGTTTAATATAGGAGTCCTACCCAGGGACATGCACTCTGCAGTGCCTTATTCTGTGCATTTTGGCCAGTTGTGGTCGTCTGTGCTAATCACCCTCTGTTGCATGTGGAAGCTTCGCTGGTGAGAGTTGAGAGATGCATCATGCAACTGAGAAATCAAGACCTTCACCCAGAGAGTTAGAGGGCTCACTTCTTTACTGTTATCACTGGCAGTGCACCAAGAGCTAATGCTCTTGAATTCTGGGTCACCCCCCTCCCCAAATCTAGTTTTCCCATAATTTACAACTTAGTTACCTATATGTCACAAGACAATTTCAGGAGATCTTTTTTATGATTAAGCAGTTAAAAGTTGACCACAAAGGCAGATTTACTGACAGCTAGTTAAACATTCTTACAGTGGAACTTGGTGAACAGTACAGTTGCAAATAGGGGTCCCCTCAGATAACTGTGGTATTTCTGGTTTCCTGAGTTCTCCATTGTTACTTCTATTCTGATCTTCTGATCAGCCATGGTTAAGCATTTACTAAGTAAATCAGCACATGGCAGTTACTATGCTTTTTTTTTTTTTTTTGGTTTTGAAACAGGGTCTCCCTGTAGCCCCAGCTGTCCTGGAACTCACTAGATAGACCAGGCTGGCCTCCATCTCACAGAGATATGCCTGCCTCTGCCTCCTGAGTGCTGGGATTAAAGGTGGGCACCACCATGTCTGGCTTAGTAATTATTCTAAAACACAAGAGAGAGCTGGAGAGTTGGCTCAGCAGTTAAGAGCACTGGTTGCTCTTGCAGAGGACCTGGGTTCAGTTCCTAGTACCCACTGGGTGGTTAACAACCCTCCATAACTCCAGTTCCAGGGGATCTGACACCCTCTTCTGGCCTCCGTGGACATCGCATGACACAGGTGCACTGACATACACGAAGGCAAAACACGCATACAAAATTTTTTTTTAAAGTTTAAAACACAGATATATGAAACCTAAGATAAATTAGGTATGCAAGTTACATTGTAGATAGATTACATGCATAGATTATGCATTTTTACTTTTCAGTATCATGCTTTTAGGGTTGCAAGGCACAGCAGCAGCCTGACTCTCGACTGTTGTACTCCTCAAGTGCTCAGTGCTTCTCTGTCTCTGTCTCTCTACTTGTGGAGGCCAGAGTAAGACATTGTGTTTCTTCCTCCATCCCTCTCTGCCTTATTTCCTTTGAGGCAAGGTATTTTACTAGACCTGAAGCTTGCCTTTCTGGCTAAGCTGGCTGACCAGTGAGCTCTTGGGATCCACTTCTCTCTATCCCCCAGTGCTGGGGTTGCAAGCACATGTAGTCATTCCTGGCTGGGGATTCAAACTCCTGTCCTTTATGCTTACAGAGCAAGTGCTCTTACTCACTGAGCCATCTCCTTTGTCCCCAACTTTCCTTTTTATATCCTTAGTGTCTTAATAATTTAAAACATATTGATAGCATTTCTTTGGTACAGCCTAGGTTGTACATGATTGTAATCTTTTTAAACATTAGTACTAGTTTACAGCCCTCTGTCGACTTAGAAAAATTTTGGATCATATAATCATTATCCATCATGTTCTGAGCCTCAAGAATATACCACATGTACACACACAGAGGTATTCATTACAACAGCGCAGGCAATTGGAGTATATGCATGTGAGGGGAATGAGACAGAATCTCACTATGTGGCCCGTACTTGAGATCCTCCTGCCTCTGCTCCTGAGGGCTGAGATTACAAGCATCTACCAGCATACTCAGCTAATGTACGCATTTTGAGAAATACCAAATGGTGATATGTGATGTTAATTAAAATAATAGTTCTGGGTTGGTGAGGTGGCTCGGTGGATAAGGGTACTGCTTGCCTCCAAGCCTGATGACCTGAGTTCAGTCTCCAAGGAACACATGGTAGAAGAAGAGAATTGTTCTCTGACTTCCACATGCACACAGTGGGGGAAAGAGAGAGAGAGAGAGAGAGAGAGAGAGAGAGAGAGGTGTACTTTAAAATTTTTTTTTTGAAAATTAGTGCTTTCTCTCAGTCCAACGTCCAGTTCCCTATCTATATTACTTAGCAAAGAGAATTGTTCTTTTGAGTGATTCTGGCACCGCTCCACTAAAATAGATTAAATGAGATATAGGAACATTGGTAAAGATGTCTTCAGGCATTGTCAGCTTCCAGAACAAAGACAGATGGTGACATAAGTAGCCTAAGTTTGCCTTTGTATTTCTGGAGGCCGGAAGTCCAGGTTCAGGGCATAAGCATGGTTGAGTTAGTTCTAGGGAGGGCCTTCTCTTTGGTTCTAGACTTCAGACTTCTCACTGTGTGATTACATGGTGTATAGAGAAAGCTAGGAGATCTCTGGCCTCTTATTAGAACATAATTCATGAGGGTTCCATCTTCATAATCTAAGTTACCTCTCAAGGTCCCCACCTTCAAATACCATCATGTTAGAAGTTAAAATTTGTAAGTATTAATTTAGGGAGGAGACAATCATTAAATCAATAAAAGGTAAAGAGCGGATAGAACTCCCATAACCTGCGGGCAAGAGTGCAGATTGACAGAGATATTTAGGAGAGAAAACCTTAGACAGTGTTCACTAGAGTTACACATACAGATTGTGAGTATCCCAACAACTCCAGTCCTAGTGATTTACATGAGAGAAATGTGTACATATGTTCATACATGCTCTATACAAAACATCCCAAATTGTATTCTACCTGAAAGCCTGTATACAGGAAAATAGTTAAATATATTTTGAAATATTTACACAAAGAAATATTATGGCTGGTAACCATAAATAAATGACTGGTAACCATGACTCAAAATAATGTGTACACACACCTAACATTGAGTGCAAAAAAACTCAGACACTAAAGGGTGCAGACCATAGCTATACATAGGATGTACAAGGACAGGCGAAGCTAATGTATGCTAGAAGCCAAGATCTGACTAGTGAGATGGCTCAGCAGGTAAGGGTGCTTGTGGACAAGGCTAAGAACTTTAGTTTGATCCCTGGAACTCACACAGCAGAAGAAGAAAACCAACTCCTTCAAGTTTCCCTCTGACCTCCACGTGCATGCTGTGACATGCATGCCTGCCATACACACTAAGTAAGTTCTAAGAAGGTGAAGGTAATGACTAGAAAGAAAATGAGTAAGGGCTTGGATGGGCATGATGCTTAGCTGCTTGTGATCTTAGCCTTAGTGCTGTAGGCATGAATATGTTCACTTTGTGAAGTCCAAACAAGCTTAATATTTTATATCTATGTACTTTAAAATTTTTATTTATTGTTTTATGTGTATGAGTGTATTGCCTGCATGTAAGTGCACCCATGTAGTACAATGCTCGTAGGGGTCAGAAAGGGTGTCAGATCCCCTGGAACTGGTGTTACAGACAGTTATTAGTCACCATGTGGGTGCTGGGAATTGAACTCTGGTTCTCTGCAGGAATAATGTCTTAATGGCTGAGCCATCTCTATAGCCCTATTTATGTAGTTTTGATACATATGTTATACTCTAATTATTAATAAATGCTTTTACTCAAAACAAAAACAGACATGAAACAGATGTTTGTACTGTACATCTCCATGGAGCTGGAGAGTTGGCTCAGCAGTTAAGAACACTTGCTGTTCTTCCAGAGGACTGGAGTTCAGGTCCCATCATCCACATTGGGTAGCTCACAACTGCCTATAATTCCAGTTTCAGGAGATCTGACAACCTCTTCTGGCCTCTATGGGCACCTGAATTCATGTGCACATTCCCCCACACAGATGAACATACATGTAAATAATTTTTAAAAAATTAAATCTCTAAATCTCCTTCAGGGAAGAAGACAGAGAATAACTTGGACACAGAGAATAACACAAACACAGAGAATAACTCAAAGATTGAAATCACAAAGCAAAACAGTTGTAAGACAACATCTCAGGAGAAGCAGAAGAAAATAGATCAAGGAGGTGATTCCCAGAGTTTGAGGGCAGAAAAGACCCCAGAAAGGGATGATAGGGTGTCTCAGAACAAAGAGAAATGTGGTCCAACACTGGCTACAGAATCATCCAAAAAAATATTACCTGGCGGTAAGGAACGTGAATCTGTGGCCTCAGGAATACTTTCAAGTGAAACATCAGCAACTACATCACAACAGAGCACCTCTCAAGAAAAGTCAACTGCAGGCCAAGACTCTAACAGAAAAACACAGAATGCTAAGATTCTCACAAAACGTAAGCCCGCCCGACAGGGTAAGAACCACTTTAAATGTAAAGAATGTGGGAAAACTTTCAACCAGACCCTCCATCTTGTGGAGCATGAGAGAATTCATACAGGAGAGAAACCTCACAAGTGTGACACATGTGGCAAATCCTTCAGGCACATCTCATACTTCCTCACACACTACCGAATTCACACGGGAGTGAGGCCCTATAAGTGTAAAGAGTGTGGCAAAGCCTTCAACAGCAGCTCCACACTCAACAACCACTACAGGACCCACACGGGGGAGAAACCCTTCAAATGTGATGAGTGTGGGAAAACCTTCAAGCAGAGCACAAAGCTCACTCGTCACCAGAGGATTCATACTGGGGAGAAACCTTACAAGTGCGGAGAGTGTAACAAGTGCTTTGGTCGCAGCTCATCCCTAAGGGAACACAAGAGGATCCATACTGGAGAGAAACCATACAAGTGTAAAGTGTGTGGGAAAACCTTCAGGGTCAACTCACATCTTTCAGAGCATCAGAGGCTCCATTTAGAAGAGAAACCATACAAGTGTGAAAAATGTGGGAGGCACTTCCGAAATGGCTCCCACCTGGCAGATCACAAGCAGATCCATGTGCCTGGGACCCGAATGGACTGCCCGGAATGTGGAAAAGATTTCTCCAGCAAATTAGCACTTCTAAAGCATCAGAAAAGGCACAGGGAAGATTCATTGTATCCGTGCAAGGGATGTGAAAAGACATTTAGGTGCAAGTCGAGCATACAGAGGCATGAGAGGCTGCATGCAGGGGAAGCGCCTTTCGTGTGTGATAAGTGTGACAAAGGTTTCACTGACAAGACTACTTTGAATAATCACTTGAAAATCCACGCTGGAGATAGGCCAGATCCATGTGCCCAGTGTGGTAGAACCTTTAGAAAACTGGCTACCCTGCTGCTCCACGAGAAAAGGCATGCCAAAAAGAAAGAGCAAAAAGAGAAACCTGATACTGATGATGCATGACTCGGTCTTTAACCAGAACTCACTCACATCTTTGGATCCACCAGTGCAGTCAAAATGAGGACAACTACGTAAGTGGACAGTTCTTTCATTTCTTACTAGTTTTCTGGTAAGCCAGTCGTTCTTCACAAAAGAATAATTTTAACCCTTCCCCCACTTGGAGCATTGTGTAATAGAAGGGGACTTTTTTTGTTATTCTAACATACAGGTGCCACTTTCCGCTGGTCTCTATGAATAGGGGCTAAGGACAATGTCAAACATCCTATAATGTAATAGGCAGGCTCCCTCATCTCCCAGTAACAAAGAATGACCTGCCCTCTATCTGAAGCAAATGCCCTATGGATAGTTGGATTTGAGAAGAAATTCAGGTGGAGTTTTCTCTGCCGTTCGCTACAGTAACCACTAATTAGGTATACATTATTTAGACTTCAAGGAATCAACATGAAATTTAAAAATTGAAATGCAATCACTGGGTTGCATCACCAACATTTCAAGCCTCTGGTGGCCAGTTAGCTCCTCTGTGGGGCATCAGAGATAGACAACATTTCAAATGCCATACGAGTCTCTTCAGAACTGGTTTCAATTTCAGTTATCAAAAATTATCACGTGCAATGATCCTGAGAAAGTGAGAAAATAGGACATTACTTTGAGACGTGAAATTTATGCTTGCTTTTTAGCCAAATATAGCATTTCTAAGTTTTGTGTATGTTGGAGTCTATGGTGTTTGGGACACTTAAATCTCAAGTTAGCCAGTGCCTTACCCACAGGATGCCTACATGCATTATACCTCGGACGGAATGATCAGTAGGTTCTTAAAAACATTACTGACAAATCTGAGCATTTGTTGATCACTTCCTACCTATCAGATATGGTGCTAAACTCTTTTTGTGGATTAACATGGCTAATTCTCACCAGAGTCATATGGAATGAGAACCGTCATGTGCTTCCTCTTTACTTGAGAAAACAGACTTTTTTTTAAAGAGTTTCTAGATTTTCCTTTTCTTTCTTTTCCATCCCTTCCTTTCCCTTTCCTTTTCATTTAAACCCACAGGGATCCCACCTCCATTTTATTTAGGGCAGAATAATCAGTATGTTTTTAATACCATTAGTGATAAATTTGAGCATTTGCCGATCGCTTCCTACCTGTCAAATATGGTGCTAAGCTCTTTACACGAATTAGCATAGTGAATTCTCACTAGAGTCATATGAAGATAGAACTATTATTTACGTCTTTTAACTTTTGAGGCATAGTCTCACTCTGTAGCCCAGACTAGTCTTAAATCTGTGACAATGTTCCTGACTCAGCCTTCCAGTGGCTGACAGGTGTGATCCACTATGCCTGGCTAAGCTGCTTTTTAAGAACAAGTTGTTTTATTTCCAATTTTGCACACAAAGCAAAACTGCATTGCTATTTTTATATTGCACTCTTTCAATTTAACTAGTTTTATTAGATATTTTCATTAAAACATGTCTTTAAATATATATATATGTATATATTGTATGTTTTTATTTTTTTGTGTGTGGACAGCTCCTGAGGACAGAAATCAGGAGCTGGAACAAAGGTTAATAAATCAGGGAGTGTACAGACCTCAGTAGACTTAGACATAGCCAGTTGCAAGAAAGCTTTTGGTGCATGCTGCTCTGAATCATTTATGAATTGTCTGTAGTTGCTTTGGGGCATATGAACGCATCATCACATTATTGGAACAGAGACCCAGGATCTCATAAAACTGAAAATATTTGCTCTGTGCCCCTTGATGTAAAGCATTGGTCAGCCACTCTAAATGGCTGATGAGCTAGAATGAATTAGACTCCTACCTCCATTATGCAGGGCAGCATGAACAGTAGGTTCCTAATAACATTACTGACAAATCTGAGCATTTGTTGATCACTTTATACCGATTAAATATGGTGCTAAACACTCTATACAAGCGAGCATAGCAGTTTCTCACCAATCATATGAAGTAAGAACTGTTATGTTGTTATCCAGTTTCTTTACTTTTTCCCCTTTTAGATTTATACAGATTAAATATGGTGCTAAGCTTTCTACACAAACCGGCGTAGCAATTTCTCACCAGTCATATGAAGATACAACTATTATGTATCCAATTTCTTTACCTTTTTCTTCTTTGGCTTCATAGTACCATTGGCATTTTTTTCTTTTTACCTTTTTTACTGAATTGTTGTGAATTTCATACAGTATATCTTGATCATATTTGGATCCCCTCTCCTAGCTGCACCCCCTTAGTACCTCCTGCCCTATTTCATGTACTATATTATATGTATATTACATATGTATTATATGTATATTAAGGCCCATAGAGTCAAATTTGTGCCCTCAAAAGTCCTTCCATGTGGATTCATGTACTGGTTATCCTGTCAAGAGTCTCGCCCTTAAACAAGACTGACTCCACTCCCAGAGCCATTGGCTTCCAATGGCTCCTCAGGTAGAGCTGGCGTTTCTTACTTTCTCATATCTATGCTGGGACTTTTGTCCAGCTTGAGCTCACATGGTCCTTATGCATGCTGTCACCATTGCTCTGACTTCATATGAGTAACTTTCCAGCCATCATCCACCACCTCTGGCTCCTACAATCATCTGTCATCTCGTTCATCGTGATCCCCGAGCCTTTGGAAACAGAAGCTTGCTGTAAGCTTCCAATTCATGGATAATCCCGCAGCAGTCTCTTATTCTCTGCACTTTAGTCAGTTGTGGGTCTCTGTGTTAATCACCCTCTGCTGCATAAGGAAGCTTCTCTGGTGAGAGCTGAGAGATGCATTAATATAAAAGTATAACAATAAGTTATTAAGAGTCACTTTAATACTATATCTGCTTAGCAAAATAATAGCATTAGGCTCTCCCCCGTAGCCTGTGGGCTAATTGCATGTTGCTAGGCCTGATATCAGTGTCAGGTATGGGCTCCATCTTATGAAGCAGACCTTAAATCCAAGTAGAAAGTGGCTGGTTACTCCCATAATTTTTGTGCCGCTATTGAACCAGAGGTCATATCTTGCCAGGTTAGTTGTTGCTGAAGCAGTCGTATTCACAGCTGGGTAAGGTTAATAATTAATTTTCCCTTCTGGTAGCATGCATAGCACCTTTCAGCACTATGAACACTAGCCAGTAGAGATGAGGCTTTAAAGTCAGTACCAGATTGACTTCTTCTTTTTTTTTCCTACAGCCCATATATATATATAATGTCTTCAGCAATAGGTCTTACCATCAAGTTCTGGTGGGTAACCAAGAACAGGGACAATGGCCAGTATTGTTTGAGGATCACTAGGACCCATGGTCAATAGCTTCAAAAGAGGGAGTCCATCACAGGCATTGGGCTTTTACTTTGCTAGCCTATGGTATCTAGTAGGGGCAATGCCCCTGTTATCAGATAACTCCTTTTGTAATGTATATGTATATATTTTAAGATGCTTCTATAGTGGTAGGTTTCCATATAGCTTTTTCTAAAGGCCTTTAGTGTTAATTATCCCTCCTCATACTCCCTTCTCTGAGGCACAGTCTCACTCTGTAGCCCAGACTAGCCTCAAACCTCTGACAATCTTCCTGACTCAGCCTAAGGGCTGGAACGACAGGTGTGAGCCACTATGCGGCTGAGCTGCTTTTTAAAGAACAAATGATTTCTAATTTTGCACATAAAGCCAAGACTGCATTGCTATTTTCATATTGCACTTTCAAAGTGATAACTTTTATTATATATTTTCATAAGACATGTCTTTTTATATATCTAAGTGCATATATATATATATATATATATATGCATTTCTGTGCATACAGCTCCTGAGGGCAGAAAACAGGAACTGGCACAGAGGTTATGGCTAGAAGCAGGATTTTGGTGCATACTACTCTGCCTCACTTATGAATTGTATGTGTTTTTTTTTGAGGCGTACAAAGGCATGATCACATTTTTTGGAGCAAGAGACTGTATTAGTTGTGATAGAAACACTGATCAAAGCAATTTATAGAAGAAAGAGTTTATTTGAGCTTATGGTTCTAAAGGGGCAAGAGTCCTTATGGCAGGGAGGCATGGCAGCAGAGGTGGCTGGAGGAGGAGCGGAAGCTAGGCTCTACATCATCACACAGGCACAGGAAGTGAGGGAGCAACTGGAGATCTGGCAAGGCTTAAAACCTCTCTAAGCCTGCTCCTAGTGACATGCTTCCTCTGGCATAGCCACACCTTTAAGACCTCCCAAAACAGCACCACCAACTGGGGACAAAAATGTCCAAATACTTGGAGCCTATGGGGGACATTCTCATTCGAACCACCACAGAGACCTAGGATCTTATAAAGCTTTGTGACCCTTGATTTAAAGCACTGGTCAGCCACCTCTGAAAGGCTGATCAACAGGAATGAATTAGGAAGGAAGGGGTTTAGAAAAGCAAAGGAAGTCTCATGCCATGTCTCTTTGTGGAGAGAATATATGGCATTGCAATCCAATACATATCACCCATGTATGTTCATATGAGTGTGTTTTGTGCACATTACAAGTCAAGTTTGGGACTGGAGAGATGGCTCAATGGTCAAAATATTTACTGTCCAAATATGAAGGTTGAATTTAGAGCCCCAGAAACACACTTAACTACTGTGGGTTTGTGGTGCCCCACAGGTGATTACAATCTCAGAAGATAGAGACAGGGATATCCAGAGCAAGGTGGCTCAGGAGACTGGCCACATTAGTGTGCTCTGGGTTCAACTGACAGACCCTGCCTTATTGAATAACGTGGAAGAGAGACTGAGGATGATTCCTGACGTCAACCTCAGGCCTCCATGTGCACGTATATGCGCACACACACACACACCCATGCACACATCTATACCTACATACATGAATCCACACGCATACAAACATGCCTGAATACATACATGTGCAACACACATGCACATGCCTATACCTACATACATGAATCCACACACACAAACATGCATGAATACATAAATGCACAACACACATGGAAATGGAAAAGGTAAAAACACAAAAAATAAAAACAG